AAAAGACTACTGGAAGGAATGGTGTGAAAAAGTGGCACTATGGGAAGCTAAAAATAATATTACAAATAGATTGAAAAAGAAAAAAAAGGGAAAAACTAATTTAAAAAAGGTGAGGGAAATAAGAGAATATAATGACAGTATAAAGTTAGTAGAAACTAATGAAGGGAAATACAGTAAAATAGAACAAATAGAAAAGAACATGATACATAAATTTAGAATGTGAATTAACTTAGGATGCAAATATAATAATAATTATAGTTATATATATAATAATTACATCTGATGGGGTTTTGGCCATCAGTTCCTGAGGTTACACTTAGGCAACAATGAGTTGGACCATAAAATATTATTTTTAGTCAGTTTCGATAAATGTAAAATAAATTATATGCATCTTTTAAATTTACACCTAATTTATTAATAAAAGTTTATTGAGCAAGACTCCGTTGGATTTAAAAAAAAAAAAAAAAAAATACATTCACCATATTTTCAATAATTAATTGACAACGATGGTTCATCGAATTTACAAAATTAATTAGAACTGTTTGGAGTATATTTTGCCATACCTCCATCATAAATCTTTCAAAATAATTTAGATTTCTTAAATCCGGACTATTTGATGGCCACTCTAAAACTATTGGGAACTTTTCTTGAAGAAAGGCTTTGGCAAGACGACTTTTATGCTTTGGATCATTTCTTGCTGGAAGCGGAAATTATTGTCAAGCACCTGGGTGATCTCAGGATTATGTGTACGAAGAATTTCTACATAAAATTTAGCAAAATAAGCTTGTTTTTCCTTTTATACAAAAACTTTCCACTCCATAATTTTTGTACGATCTTTAGGTATACCAATGTTCTACAGTGTTTCTAAAAAGTTAAAAGCAGTTTCGTTAGTAAATATTGTTTTATTCCATTAATCATTAATTTTTTTTGGCCTATTCTATACGTTTTTGTTTGTGGCTTAAAGTTTGTTTTGGGAAGTTTTTAAATATCCAATACTTTCAAGGTGCCTTCCAATAGTTCTGTACGATACTTCATATTCATATTTCCCATTCCGTGCCAAAGTTCTTGTAGAAAGAGATGTATGCTTATGTGTTGACAAAGCACCCGGGAAGCATTTACGGTAATTTTTTTGGGTGAACGTTCCTTCCGGCATACTTTAGAGAGCATTTTTTTTATTTTTTTTTATGTTTCTATAAATTATATATATTAAGATACTTGTAATTCTTTAGAATTATGTAATAAAGTTTTGTTGAAAAAGACATTTCGTGAGAACTTCTGGTAAAAACAAATATATTGGTAAACAAAAACAAATCTAATCTATTTTTAGTGGAGAAAATCATTTTTGTCACATGAACAATTTTCTGATTTTCTTTCCTTTTATATTACAAAGTCTTGCTCTATTTAAAAATCGGATCGGATTGGTCATTCATTCAAATAAAATGTCTTTTAAATTTTTTGACAAATTATCCCAAAACTTTACTGAACTTCTTAATGATAAAGAAGATCATAATGTAATCATTACAGTTAAAAATGAGAAATCCTTTACAGCGCACTCTAGTGTATTGAAATGTCGGTCAACTTATTTTCGTAAAGAGTTAGAAATGACTATGCCGAGCGAAAATGATCTTGAGACAATTAATAAGCCAAATATTTCTGATGAAATGTTTGATATTATTCTAAAGTAGGTGATTCAATAATTATAATAAATTAATAAATATTTTTTTTTTTTTAATTTAATAAGATATATATATGGTGGAATTGTCAATTTAGAGAATAATGAGACGCGGTTTATTTTTGATTTAATGATAGCAGATAGTGAATTGGAACTTGAAGAATTAATCAAAAAACTAGAAAATCACCACTAAAAGTTCTTGGTTAAAGTCTCATTTTTCTCTAGTTTATCGTTCAATTTTTAGTGGAAATAACTTCATCTCTCGTTTTCGATGCTGAAGTTTTCACTTCTCTTCAAGAATCTGCATTGGTTTCTCTCCTCAAACGAGTTGATTTACAACTAGAAGAGGTGATAATTTGGGAATATGTAATTAAATGGGGAATTGCTCAGAATTCCACTTTACCTGTAGACCTAAAAGAATGGACCAATGAAAACTTTACCACTTTAAAAACTACTCTTCAACAATCCCTACCATTGATTCGATATTTCCATATCTCTGGTACTGATTTTTTAAAAAATATAAAGCCTTACAAGAAAATCCTTGATAAACAACTTTGGGATGATTTGAAACAATATTTGATTGACCCTAATCAACCATTGATATCAATAATTTTACCACTAAGAACAATTTTTGTTCAAAAATTGCCTACCCGTACAACGGAACCAACAAATCCATTTTCTACCATTATTACTTATGAACATGTAGCCGAAATTTCCTCTTGGATTGATCGTAAATCAAGTACTTATTCTTTAACAAACAATCCATATGAGTTTCAATTAATTTTAAGAGGAAGTATAAATGGATTTTAACCTAAAACTTTTTGGGATAAATGTCACGGCCATGCTAGTACTGTAGTGATTATAAAAGTTAAAGGAACAGACGAAATCTTCGGAGGATATAATCCTTTAGCGTGGGATAATACTATAACTGATAACTTTATTTTCTCATTGAAAAATGGCAATATCCAAAATTCAATTCTTAGTAGAGTAGAAAAACCTGAATATGCAATTTATAATGTTAGAAAAAGTGAACAAAATAATTATGGTCCAATTTTTGGATACTACAGTTTTTATATGTATAGCCCTAGTTCTAATTTTACTTTGGATAATTATTGCAGATGTCAGAATAACGGTTTTTATGAAAAATCTATCAGAACTACAAATGATAGTTTCTCAATTGTTGGTTATGAAGTATTTAAGGTTATTAAGAAATTTAAATAATTAATGAGATGATAATTTTTTTTATGTTATTATTAATAAATTATCAAATATATTTTTATTCGTTATATTATTGAGTAAATTATTAAATAAATTTTGAAGTATCCCATATTTATTTTGCAAATATAAATTATATCTTCCTTTTTTTAAAAAAAAAAAAAACTCTAACGTACGACATTTTGTCACGCGACAATGGTTATTTTCAATATTTGTGAAAAAATATCGTCATATCACAAAAATTGAAATTTGGGTGTAATTTAAGAAGTACGACGATAAACTGTACTATAAGAAAAGTTAAACGATCTTACAGTACAGTTTATCAACATACTTCGTAAATTTGTTTAATTTTCATAAATTAATTTTATTCGTATCTTACAGATTTAAATAAATGAATAGTATGAAAAATCGTCTTATTGAAACTAAAGCTCTCGGTTAAAGTCTCATTTTTCTCCAATTTATCGTTCAATTTTTATGGGAATAACTTCATAGCTTTAGAAAATATTGAAAATGATATTGTTACAAAATATCCTTCTCTCATTTTTGATGCTGCTGATTTCACTTCTTCAAGAATCTACACTAGTATCTCTTCTCAAGTGAGATGATTTAGAGGCGATGATTCGGGAATATATTATTAAGTGAGGAATTGCTCAGAATTCCACTTTATTCGTAGACCTAAAAAAATGGTCCAATGAAAATTTTACATCCTTAAAAAAATACTCTTTCAACAATGACTACCTCTAATTCGATATTTCCATATCTCTGGTACTAATGTTTTGAAAAATATAACGCCTTACAAGAAAATTCTTGACGAACAACTTTGGGATGATTTGAAACAATATCTGATCAACTAGTAATATCAACAAATAACAAAAATTGTTCGAAAATTACATACCCGTACAACAGAATTAATAATAACCATCTTCCACCATTATTACTTATAAACTTGCAGTCAAAATTTCCTCGTAAATCAAATATTATTCCTTAAAGTTTCAATAAATTTTAAGAGGAAGTATATAAATGGATTTGAACTCAAACTTTTTGGGATAAATTTCACGGCCATGTCAGTACTTTAGTAATTATAAAAGTTGAAGGAACGGACGAAATCCTCGGAGGACGCAATTCTTTAGCTTGGGTTTGGGATAATGCTGATACATATGTCATATGATGGTCAAGGAAAAACTAATGATAGCTTTATTTTCTCATTGAAAAAAATGGCAAATATACAATATTCAATTCTTAGTTGATTTAGTTTTGGACTAAAGGTAATCAAAAGACTTTGCTTATTTTACTATAGGTAGTTACAACGGACTGAATCATTATTAAAAACCTATCAGAACAGCAGCAAAATATCATTTCTTAATTTTTAATTATGAAGTATTTAAAGTTAGAAATTTCTGTATCAATAATTTTTTTATTGGACATCACTCTGCG